GTGGGGCGCCCGGCCTAGGATGGGCCGGCCTGCTGGGGTCCAGGGCCGTGGCTCTCAGACCGCTGCAGAGGCTCGGGGGCGGCAGGGCGGCGGGGCGCCCTCTTCGAGAGCTGCTGGGCCCGGGAGCCGTCTGCCGGGGCCCGCGGGGATTAGTTCGCGGCTGCATGCCGCCACACGCGTCGGGCTGGGCTCCGCCAGGGAGAAACAGCGCCCCAGGCGCGCGGGGGAGGCAGGAGGTAGAGGGCGCGGGGGCGGGGCGGGCGGCCTGGGGCTGTGCTGGGGGAGGCTGGGGTGGCCCCTGGCTTGGGGGCCCAGGGGGTACTCGAAGGGGTCCTGGTGAAAAGGAAAAGGCCCTGGCTTCCTAAGTTATGAAGTTGGGGGTCCATAGGGGTCTGACTCCCAAAAGCCTCAGGCTCTGAAGCCAAAGGATATAGGGGTACCCCCTCTATACTCCTCTACTGTTAAGTGAGAACTGGACAAGTCTCAAGGAGCCAGGTCCCCACACTATCCCACTCAAGCAGCTGGGAGAAGGAGATATAGAAACCCAGTTAGGCCCATCCAGGAGGCAGCACACCCATCTTTCTCAAAAGACCTGAGTCTAGGTCTAAGATACCAACGTAGGAGATAGGTGTGAATGGAAATGAGTGACAAAGCCTCTGGCTATCTGTATCCCAAGCCACTCTAGGGGTTGCACAGGTGGGCCTTGGGTCATCCAGCAGCCCTGGAGGGAGGACAGGAGTGAACTGTGGCTTCTCTGAGCTGTGAGGGGAAGAGGAATTGGCAGGGCCGCCAGGTACATACACACCCAGTACCTCTGACTCAGAGAGGGTTTTCTGGGGTGGCCAGGATGAAACAGAGGCTGGTGGTGTACCCTGCCTGGAAGAGCTGCAGAAGTATAGAACTTTTACCTGCCCAGGCTTCCCTCACCTATACCATCTGGCAAAAGTCCCCGACCCCTTTCATGCTGATTCTGGGTACTTTATCACAGGCTCTCCAATCTCAATGCTGTTTGCTAGGTAGAGGGTAAACTGAGGCAGTTGATAGATACAGATATTTCCTGGGCATGACATATGTAGCGTTAATGACAGGGCAGGATAACCCAGGAGTCCAGTTTTCAGGAATGGAACCTGCCACCCTCAGCCCACACAGCCCAGCTTGGAGCACATCTGCCACATTCGTCTGCTCCTCTGCCTTTCTGAAACCAGGCAGAGGCGTGAGAGCAGCATGGCTGGCAGATGGGCACCTGAGGAGGTTGCCAACTTGAGGGAGTGGGTTGGGGATGGCTGGTGGATAGATCCTGGGGTGGAAGTGCTGGATGGGTTGGGCAGAGGGGCAACGTGACAGGGCAGCTACCTCTGCTGAAGATGGGACTCTCGTAGGGGATCTTGTTTCGAGTCTCCAGACTAGAGCAGTTCCAGCGCTGGTCCCGGAACTGGTGCTGGCACTCATGGATGGCAATCTGGATGCCCTGGATAGCTGAGGCAGCCACGTCAGGGTGGCGCACACACACCTCCATCTGCCGCCTGCTCAGGCCGGGCAATGTCAGGCACACTGTGTTGGCGTTGAGCACAGGCTCCGGGGGAAGGCGGAGACCCAGAATGTCGTTGGGTGCAGACCTGCAGGCATGTGGGGGTGGGTGAGTGTCTGGGGGGCTAGGAGGACCCCATCTAACAATAAATACACAATCTCTCCCAAAGGCCATAATCTCTCTGTTCCAACCCTTGCCTTTGAAGTTTGGGCCCATTCGCATACCCCTAAAGCATTCTCCTTTCCTTGACCTTCTCACCATCATTCCCTCCAACAAAACCCACCCAACTGCACACCCACACAGGTTAACATGTGCAAATGCACACACAACCGGAATGCCTGTGCACACAATATTTTATAAGTATATTCCCAGGCATAGGTGCTCACATATGAAGCATTCCCCAGGAGACCATTCCTGAAAGCATGTTTCAGACAGTCATATTCTCATAGACACTTCTGCATAACAAGGTGGACACACAGACTTGGAAACACATACATGCACACTTCATCAGACAATTACACACACACAAAGACATAAGGTACACACATGTATTTATCTGAACATACATTGATCCATGGGCTCTTACATTCACACGTGCACATACAGACTGCTGTTTACAACACAGCTTGCTGGGTTCACTTGAACACACACACACACACACACACACACACACACACACACACACACACACAGCCCTTCCAGCTGCAGCTTCTCATTGACTCCACCTGGGTTACACCCTTCCAGCCCCCAACCCCTGCTCCTGCCTGGGGGCGATCTCCAGGGTGGAGCAGGGCAGTTTGAGCTTACTCCTGGGGTGGGGGTGCATTCCCTTAGCACAGCAGGGACTCCAGGTTGGCACTTGTTCCCCCCTCACACACACCTTCCCTTCTAGTAGCCATCACTCTCCTGGGCACTGCCCTGTCTCCCTGGACTGCCCATATTCTGTCACCAGTTCAACCCCTTCCTATGAGGGCACTGTCTTTCATTGGGTACCAGGACTTTCCTGCCATACTGTCCCTCCCTCTTTCCAGGGTCCCCTGCCCCAGTAGGAGTGCCAGAGGCCCCTGTGGCTGGGGGTCCCAGCTCTCCAGGAGGGCGGAGCATAAGGTGAGGTCTCACCTGGGCACGGCGGCAGCCAGCAGCAGTAGAAAGAACAGGAGCGCGCAGAGCGCGGGCCGCGGCTGGGGCCGAGGTCGGAGCCGCAGCCAGGGACAAGGGTGGGTGCTGCCCATGGCGCGCGCGCCGTGACGGGCCGGGAGTGGGGGGCTCACAGCCCGGCGGGACCGGCGAGCCAGGGGCGCTGGCGCATGATCCGCGGGGGTCGGGGCGGCTGCGACACACAGCTCCGACTCGGGTCACGGCTCCGGGAGCAGACGGCGCCTCCCCGCTCCATGGGGCAGCGCCCCCGGGCACCGCCCTCGGGGGGGGGGTGGCGGGCGGGCACACCGGGCACCTCTTGGCACGGGGGTCCGGGGAATTTCCCGAGGCCCCCCTGCGACAACTCCCAGTGCCTCTAGAGGGTAAGGGGGGCCGGGAGGTGCTGTGGGCTGGGGACGAGAGGCTGGGGTGCCGGAGAGCCCCCCAGTGCAGCGCCGCGAGCCTGCGCTTCCGAGGGCGTGTGAGGCGGGCCAGGGTGGGGGGGGCGGCGCTGTCTGTGCCCGGCCCCACCGCCCAGAGAGTGACTGTCCTGGCTTGGGGAGTTCCGCCGCCTCCCCTCCCCCCCAGAATGTCTCAAGGTTCTACCCCACGTGACGTCACGACAGGGGGTGTGGAGGCATGCACGCGTCTCCAGGCCACTGCGTCCGCTCAGGACTCTGGGTGGGAGCGACTGCGCGGGGGACAGAGGAAGCAGAGGTGTTGGGGTCAGTGTGCGCGGGCACAGGGAGATGTTAGTGTGCGGGGCGTGCTGGTTTGTGTCGGAAGGTGTGTTACTGCGAGGTGGCGTGGGTGCCTGGCTGAGATGCAGCTGCTGGGGAACGCTACCCCCCGCCCCAATATACACACCTGCAGAGGCTGGAGGGGAGGGGCTGGCCCCGCTGCTCGCCTCCCCACCTCAGGAGGGACTTCCCAGGCTTGGCTGGTGAGGCAGGTGTGGGGTCCTGCAAAGGGATTTGGCAGCCTCTGGATGTTATTTTCCTTCGCGGTATGACCTTAAACAGGTGCCTGCTGTTCACTGAGCCACCTTCTGCCCCTCTGTAAACCGAGGTTAATGAGGTCCACCTCATCTAGTCATCTCAGCTCATCTAGCCAATGACGGTAAAAGTGCTGAGACTCCAGTAGTAAATGCTTGTCTGAGAGCAGAGCACCCTAGGGCGGCACACCCTGGGAGGAGGGATTAGAGAGCCTTTGAATCCTAAAAGTGTGCTTTGAGGTCATCTTATTTCACCCCCTTTTATTTCACAAGAAAATATTGAGGCTCAGAGAGTGCCATGGCTTACTCAGGGTCACACTGCACGTAGGAGGAAGAGCTGGAACCAAACCCAGTTCTCTTGGTCCTGAGCACAGCAGCAGTGACCCCCACACAGTACTGCTTGCCCTAGCCCTACAACCTTTACTTGGTCCTCTAGGAGCTCCCCAAAACCAGCCTCCTGGCTCAGGCCCACTCCTCTCTGCAATCCCTCCTGTCCTCCCACAGTAGCTGAAAACTGGGCTCACCTCAATATGGGGTGAGTGTACTGGACCCGGGAAAGAGCCTGAGAGCCACAGGGTTGGGGACAGAGGCACCAGCTTGTTTCAGGTTCTAACCTGGGCCCTGACAGTGAATCCTACTCCCACTGTGGCCTCAGCATCCTCTATAAAATGGGCACGAGCCTCCCACTCTACACACACCTCCCTTCCAACCTCACTGCCCCCTGTGTCTGAAGAGAGCCCCTCCTGATTTAAGGACAAATTACCCAAGCCTCTGGGCTCTGAGACAAAAGGGGCCCTTTCCTGGAATTGGCCATCCCTAGGGAATTGGAGGAGAGGGGTGGGGCCTTCCCTGTCCCCAGACTGTCAGGTGGTGCCCGCAGCCTGAGCAACAGCAGGCTGACGGCATACTCCCCCTTCCATTCCCCCATCTCTGCCTGCAGCCACCGCAGCTGTCAGGAATTAAGGGCTTGAGGCCGCTGGGGGTGGGGTTGGGGCAGTGGGGGGGAGCAGTCTGCCTGGACAGCAGGAAAACAGCCAGGGGCAGGAAGCAGTCTGCATCAACCAAGCCTTGTTTGACCCCAGCCACCCCCTGCCCTCCCCACTCTCCCCCACCATGCTGCAGGCACAGGGGCAGCTTGGGACTAGAGTTTGGGAAGGGTATAGGGATAGACAGGGCAGAACCAGACTCAACACAGGACGGAGGCATGAGCCCAGGGTGGAAGAGGACACCGGCACGGACAAGCCAGGCTGGGGAGTCACACTCCTGTTGGCTATTGGGGAAACTGAGGCCCAGAAAGAATTAGGAGCACACCCAGTTGGGAACATGACACCCCAAATGGATTCCTATCCTCCTTGTATTCCTTGCCTAGGGCTCACACTAGCATTTCCCATGATCCATGCATCAAATACATTCCCTGGGGTGGGCCATTGAGGGAAACACTGATTCCAGACCCAAGCCTCTGAATCAGCCTTTCCAGGGGCAAGGCCTGGGTCTGCATTTATAACCCATATCCCAAGTGATTTCCGTGAGGACCACATTTGAGAAATGCTGCTGACCTGCTTGAGCAGCTGATTTTCCCCCTTTGTTCTTCCTCTAAAGAGGGAGGGTCTCTGTGCTCCCCCACCCTCCACTGTTTATGAAGTATAGAGCTGCACAGGAGAGAGACCCTGTCTTTGAAAACCCCAGCAGGCAAATAACGATGCCCAAGCTTTGCTTGTGCTCAGGTGTTCTGGCCTGATGTCATGAGGGTCTAGAATTGCCCAAGCCTGGGGCACCTCTCCACAGTCCAGGGAGGAGGGGGCATATGTAGGCACAAGGCCTTGGTGTATGTGGAGATGAGGCCCAGAAAAAGTGCCTGCGATGCGAGTCCCAGTCCCATATGATCCATGACATGGGCAAACCCCCTATCAGCAGCCCCCATGCTCCGCCCTGGCCCTGCCCTGGATTCTGGCCCTCAGCCCAGCCCCAGCCCCCACAGCCGCCGCTGGAGACCACAATTACAGGGCCCACTGGGGGTGGGGGGAGCAGCAGGGATGAAAGGCAGCTCAGAGAATGGTTCCAGCTGTGGTGACTCTGGAGGAGGTTGCAGGGAAGGGAGGGCTGGAGAGGCACCAGGGTGAGAACAGGTGGGACCTTCACAGCCCCAGTCCAGCCCAGGCCAGGCTCAGTCCCGATACTCTGCTGGGCAAGTCTGTCTTGGTGAAGAAGAGAGGGAAGGAGTCCTAGACTGATAAGGGATCTCTTTGTCCTATTACCTGGGTCTTAGGGCCCACCACACCTCAGCAAGGTAAGGGGGCATAACTTGCTGCTTCAGTCTCCCAAACTCTTAATATTTGGTCATTAAAGGGGAGGGGAAATGCTTCCTGAGCCCTCTGCCTCAAGCTGATCCTGGGTCTTCCAGCCAGCCTCCCCACCCATATGCCTGCGTTCCGGCTGTTCCTGATGTGGTCACGCACACATCTGGGGCATCTCTGTGCCCTTCCCCCATCGCCCAATTCCACATGTCCCTCACCACTCAGCCAGCAGGAAACCTTGATGGCTCAGACTATGCCTGGGGCTGAGCAGCAGGATGAGCAAGGGGGGTGATGTGATGGGGCATTTCTGAGCTCTGCTTCCAGCCCTCTTACCAGGTAACAGTGGAAGAGTGCAGAGCTATCCCTGAGCTTAAAGAGGACCAGGATAATGGTCAAAATGATGCCTCTTGGGCCGTTACTCTTACCCTTCACAGATGACAGTTCCCAGACTCCTGCTGGGCTAGGTCAGAGAAGATGGACCACTAACACGTGACTAGCAGTTTGAAGATTGCAATGTACTCTTACAATGTACTAAAGCTGCCAGGCATCTGCATTTCATGAAGGGGAAACTGAGACTCACATTAACTGATTTGATTAAGGTCAAGCTAGCAAACTAGGCCTTTTTTCACTGTATCATGCTACTTCCTCCAAAAGCCTTTTAACCTGCTTGGGTTGGTCTCAGTTCATTCCGCTGCCTCAGTTTCCCTCCCTGGCATCATGGAAAAGGATGTCCATCATCACCCACCCCATACCACCCCCTCTTACCCCAGGACCTGGAAGTAAAGACTGGGAAGCAGGCATCCCAGCCCTAGGTTTGGTTCAGCCCAGAGGTCCCAGTTCAGTCTGGAACCCTAGCAGCTTGACTCAAGCTGTCCATGGGTCTCCTTGCTTCCTTTCACCCTACCCTCTCCTGCCCACGACTCTTGAGTTCCCCAGAAGTCCTACAGGTTCTGTCTGTTGGTCCCCAGAAACTGGGCTCTGTGCACCCTCTGGTGGTCTTGGAGGGAAATGCAGGAAATTATTTTAAAAGGGTTGTACCCAGCACAGAGCTCTGGGGAAGGCAGAGCTGTGAATATAAACCCCGTCTGTAGGGAGCTTCATTTCACCTCCATGTGGCCCACGATGCCAGTTCCACTCTCTCCCCTTGATAAGTGATCCAAGCCCACATGGGTTGAGAGATTCCGAGTCCATCTTCCCCATGACACTTCTCTGAAACCCAGGCATTTGACCTGAGGGAGCCAGGAGGAAATAGGAAGGAAAACCCAGATACTCCTTCCTTCTCACAACAGGCCGATACCCCCCTCTCCATACATGCCACTCTGGGGCCCTGACCTGATGCTTGAGGGCTGAACCAGGCTAGATCATAGAGGTGGATGCAGGGGCATCGTAGCGGGGAGGACAGATGCATTGGAAGCCATGGTTAGGTGCTGTTACATCTAGAATCAGTTCCCCTTCCTTCTGCTTCATTTGAAGGACTCTCCTCCTCCCTGTGCCCCAATTCCCTTAGGGGCGCTGCCAATCCCAGTTATGGTAGTACATCTCCCTGGACATTGGTATTGGTTTAGAAATAGGCAAGTGATCCAAGCTGACCCAATCAGGGTCTTCCTCAATACCTCTGCTGGGAAGGCCATTATTTTTCAGATTACCAGCTCTAAGAATGTAGGCATAGTGATGCCATTTAGAGAAAGTCTGTCTGCAGCAGGAGAGAATGAGAACAACAGGAAAAGAGAAGCAGAGAGAAGCTGAAACAATAGATGTGGGGGTGGGGAAAGAGACTTATGACATCATTTGGGCCCCTGGGTTCAGCTGTGCCTGAATTCAGTCTTACGCCTGGACTTCCCAGGTATAAGACCCATTAATTTTCTTTGGCTCAAGCTAGTTTGAGTTGGGCATCTTCATTTACAATGAAAGCCTGCCTGATACCTGCAAAGCATCAGATTTCTATCCCCATTCTGATAGTAACTACCATTTATTAAACATAAATTTGTCATATAGTGTCAAATGCTGTGCTAAGTGCTTTTCATAGGTCAAAAACATCCTCCCCAAAATTCTATGAGGATGTAGGATGGATTATGAGCTGCAAATTCTTTGCTACTCTCCCATTGAGGGGTAGAGTCTGTTTCCTCTTACCTTGAATTTTGGCTGGTTCCGTGACTTGTGTCAACAAATAAGGAGTGACAGCAATGCCATGTAACTTCTAAGACTGGACCTTAAGAAGTGACATACAGTGTCTGCCTTTGAGTTTGGCCAGTTTATTTAGAAAGCCAGCTTTATGTAAGTAGTTCAGCTATGCTGAGACCACCATGCTGCGAGGAAGCCCAAGCTAGGCACATGGAGAAAAGGAGACCACTGGAGAAGCCCTGAGGCACCAGACATATATGAGTGAAGCCTCTTGAACTGTCCAGCCCAGCTCATCCACCTTTGGAATGCAGCTAAATGAATGATCCCAGCTATGGTAATAGTTTTGCCATAAGGAGCAGAACGATCAAGCTGAGTTTTGACAAATTCCTGACCTAAAGGATCAGTGAGAAGAAGTTATGTTGGGGTTGTTTGTTATGCAGCAATGGATAGCTGAAACAGGATGCTATTCCCATTATACAGGTAAAGAAACTGAGACTAACATGGCCTAGACTGTAAACTAAGAAGCAACACTGGCTTCAAACTCAGAGCACCTGAGCCCAAAGCTCTTGCTTTGCCCTACGTCCCTTGATGGGGGTGCCATTCCTACTGCAGTATTTGGATTGTGGGGAAATTGGGGGCTCTGAATCCCAGCCATTTAGCTATGCCCTCCCTCATTCTCTCTCGAGGCAGATGAAGCCATGAGGTTTAGCTCTGGGGAACCCAGAACCCCACACCCTTCCTTTCTTCCCTTCCTGCTCACTATCAGCTTCCTGAGAATAAAACGACAAAGAAGGAAATGTGGTCGGGTGACAGGAGAAACCTTGGGACAACTTTTCTTCATCTCCCTCAAAGTGTAATTAGAAATGTTGTTCTGGGCAGTCTTTTCAAATGTTAATGGGGGTGAAGTTAGTTTCAATGGTAAGTCTGATGTTACTAATAACATATTTCATCACACTCTACAGTTTATAAAGTGCTTTAATCCTATGGGCTTGAGTGACCCTAAAAGTCTACCCACGAATTCCCCAAAGGTCACAGAAACAGAAGGGCAGATAGAAGTGTCACACTCCCCTAGGATTAAGATGAGGGCTGAGCTGAGAGCTGGGTGCACCACCGGAAGCTTCTGGTCCTCTTTCCCCAGATCCTCTCAATCTGCTCCTTTAAAGAGGGATTGCTACTTCTTCCGCAGCTTGCAGACCCAGGCCCTAACTGTGTGACAAGAGTGAACAAGAATGCCAAGGGAAGATTTAGCATTCTTCAACACAGTTGCCAGGAGGGCCCAGTCCCATAGGAGAGAAGATAGGGACCCAGGGTGTTGAGCCCTGAATGCTAGTTCTAGTTCCCTTTAGACACTGCTTTCAGAGACTGGTCCCATGACAACCCGCAAGAGACCCGCCCTCCTCCCAAACTGTGGGCCCAATCCTATCGGTTTAAATATCTTTATTGATACTAAACTCACCCACCCAACCCATGGCCAGCAGTTCTGAGGAGCCCCGCATCCAGAGGCCTAGAGAAGGGTTCTTTGGTTTCCATCTGGGGGCCAAGGAGCGAGGGCCTGTATAGTCTCTCCCAGAAGCCCCCAGAGTGCCTCTCCGGCCCCACTCCAGTGCCCTGGGCCTTCCTGGACGCGTGTATAACTCAAGCCTCCAGGCCTCACGGTTTCCAGAGGCCTGGGAGATGGACTTTCGCAGGGGAAAGCTGGGTCATGGCAGCGCCCCCTGCTGGAGCCAAGAGGTCGCGCAGGTACCGAAAGGCAGCTCTGCGCTCAGTTCCGAGAGGCCCCGCGGCAGGTCAAAGGCAGAGGCTGAGCTCCTTGCGCACGTGGCAGCGGTGGCACTGCACTACGCAGCACCAGTGGAAACGGCACAGACAGTTCTCCTCGAGCTGCACGCTCTCCTGGCGATGCCCGCGGCCGCAGCACAGCAGGTCGCAGCCGCTGAGGTCCGGGGCACTGCTGTTGCAGGCGCGGCCGCGAGTGCCTGGTGAGCCGGTGCGCCGGTTGGGGGCGCAGAAGTCAGGGGAGTCAGCAGCGTAGAGTAGGTCAGCGCGGCCCGGTGGCTTGAGGCTGCGGACGGCGGGCAGCAGAGCCTTACCATCGTTGGTGCCCATGACACGCGAGGCGCCGTGGAAGCGCTCGAGCAGCCGCGCGCCCACCTCGCGGAACGGAGGCAGTTTCTGCCAGCAGGTGCGCAGCGCGCACGAGCCCGACAGCCCATGGCACTTACACTCGGTGCGCATATGGCTCCGCACGGCCTGCGGGGAGCAGAGGAGTGGGCAGATGGGGACATATGGGGATTGCGGGGCGCAGAAAGGCCCAGAGGACCCACACAAAGTAAAATGGGGGGAGTGGATCAAAGAGAGGAAAGAGTAGGGGGGAAAAAGAGAGAAAGCGAAAGGTGAGAAGGAGGAAATCAAGGGAGCGATAGCTCCGAGAGGAGAAGAAAGAATAATGATGGAGGAGTATGAGAAGTGGGAAGTGGGGGAGAGACTGTAGCGCAGAGACTCCAAGATCCAAAGACAGGGAATAGTGGAGAAAGCTGAATGGATAGCAGGGGTGAGGTTCTCCCTGGAGAAGGGGGGAAGGTGGTAGCTGTTGCACCTCTTCCTCCTGCCAACCCTCACAGCCCCAGGCAGGGCTGAGTAGAGAGGCAGAACCGTCTGTCTCCACCACCCCTCCCAACCCTCTCCGGCAGGTATGTGGGCCTGTCAGGACATTCCTCTCTGGGTCCCCTTTCCCTCCCCTGTCCAATGCCTCAGGCCCAAACCCTAGAGGACACAGGATGTGTGTGTGGGTGTCCCGAGAGCACCCTAGAACTGAGGCATAGGGTGCAGGAGGGCCCACTGTGGATGCGCTACTGAGAACTGGGACCCAAGAGTCCTGCCCTTTATTTGCTATTTGTGGCTGAGTCACAACCCGACTCAGAGATATGGGGTCAAATGACCTAGGGCGATCATCTCCAGAAGCTCAGAGTTCAGGGGCCAATCTGATATACAGATATTTGTGCCCCCGCCCCATCCCAGGCCCTCTCCTTCCCCCCC